CAGAAAGTCCATTGAAGCAGAAGAGCCCTTAAATTGCTTAGGTAATTTTGCTGCTTAATAAAAAAAATAATACTGAGGCAGCAGCAGCAGGCCGCATGCTGCCTCCTCAATGCAGCTTCCTGTATCTTCCTGACAGCCCATCTCGAATGCAGCTTCATCTGTGGAAGTTGATTCTGTCAACATGGAGTAGTACTCCATCAGCAGAGTTCATGGAGACTGTGTGTGGAATGATGCATCACTCGTTAGAGCCCAGAAGAGATGAGGGGGAGGAAGAAAATTCCTTATTTAAAACAACCATAATCATTGAAAGTTTCAGATGCGGATGCGTACTTGTCCTACTTGTATTCTGTTGATAGTTGAGTCTATCGTTTTGTTCAACCCTTTTTTGATTTTTAAAAGATGCAAATCTAAGATGACAAACTGAAGCAAAAACCAAAACCTAACAAACTCTTACTGTAAAAATGATCGGGACCATTTAAAACAAAGTGAATGCCATCCTGTTTTGGAGCCCAGTGAATTTTTCATAATGTATATTTACCTGCATAGTAATGTTTTTATTAGAATTCCTGAGGGGCAACCCCCCCCCAATATGTCAAATCTCAAACTTTCTCCCATTTGCTCAAATTGTGATCTTGCAAACAGTTTCCCACAAGCATGAGGAGGTAACAGGCACTTTGCAGTCCAATTTGGTTTGTTCTATTCCAGCTGAAGGTGTCTCTGCATGAGTTTGTGTACATGAGCTTTTTATTGCCTTTTTTCATTGAAAGTAAGTCCTTGAGATTAAAGTTAAATGAGCAAGGATGTTTTGGTCATCTGCTAGTAACGCTTACCTGAAATAAATCAATTGGCAGCCGCCAGACAGCTGCTACCCTATGGACTTACACCATGTTTTCCCAATTAAAATGTCCAGATCCTGCAAAATGAGTGATCTCCTGGCAACTGACAGGATTGCTGACTGGTGTCACAGGGAAACAGTTGTACTTTGGTTGGTTGAAAAAACATAAATAGGTATTATCACTTTAAAAAACTGTTATAAAACGTTTACTACTCGTCTGTTTTGAAGGTTGTTTTACAAAATAGATTTCCGTCATATCTTTATGCATATACCACAATCTTGAATATTTCTCTGCTTCTATGATCATCCCTGGTAATATTTTTCTTTACGCGAGAACTATAAGAAGTGCCATAATCAAGATTGAAGACCCCACTATGCGCCATAGACTTGACGAGCAAACCTTTACAGTCTGCCCATTGTAAAGGGATGTGGATGGCTCTGCTTCTTCCTTGTGCCATGAGGCGGGGGGTAAACATTGCAGACCACTTCCAGGCGCAAATGACTTCTCCCTCTGCTCTAGTTCAGCACACTGGGGAACGAAGACAAGGCTCTGACTATCCTTGCTCATCCATGTGGGAGGGGAAGTAGTAATCTATTTAAGCAGGTAACCATGAAAACTGTCCTTGCTTCAGGGAGCTTATACTAATTAGAGAGTTTGCACTGGAAACAGTGAATCTTGGTCCCCAGCCCCAGATGTGCATTACTGAGTTATAAGGACCATGCACACTTTGTGCATGAGGACTAGAGGGAAATCTTTCAATGGTGCTACTTCAATTGCTTATACCAATAGTGGGAACATGAGTGTAGACCAGCAGCTGGCATGTTTGCCAGGCCAAAACAGCTTAATGCTTGTGCTAAAACTTTACTCAAGTGCCCACTGCACAGAAAGGCCCTTGGAAATCCCATAACAATTCAAACTTAACATTTCTCTTTGAAACGGGATTTCCTGCTTGCTTTTTCGCACCTAGAATCCTACTGTGTAGGGTAACTGAGGGATGGCTTAAAATAATCAGAATTTAGCTCAGTAGCAAGCACTTCCAAGGGGATTTGCTGGACTCTGCTCAGATACAACTCTACAAGTTATTAGATCCCCTTAACTGAACACCAGAGATCAGATTCTCTGCTGGAATTCACAGCATGAGGCAGAAAACAGACTGCGTTGGGCTGGGGAGTCTTAGTAGTTTTAGAAATGGCATATTCCTACGCCAATCCCCTGCAGCATGCACAGAATAGGCCATGTAAGAAATATTATCAAAGTGTGTTGTGCTCTGCCAGTCTGGTCTTGAACAATGTCCCTTATGGACAACTAGCATAGTGTAGATAATAGCCAGCCTAAAAATGGTCTCACATCTGCTTGGGCTGGTATAAAACCAGTCCCAGAACCACAGGATTGATTACCAATGGTTCCCCTGGGCTCCCATCCTGACTCAGACTGCATCCTGTAGGCTAGGGACAGAAATTGCACACAACCCAAACCTGCACGCATGAACAAAAACCAGTTCAACCAGTTCTGTAACACAACAGAAGTTCAGTGCACATAAGCTACTTTCAAAACGGCCACTGAAACCAGTTTAAGATAAACCTGGATGGATGTGGTATCAGACTTTATTGACTTACGTTAAAATCGGTTTATTGAACTTCTGTCCCAGATCCCCTCCAGATTCAAATTAACTCACAGTCCCCCAGCATCCCAGGATGCTTTGCACTTCTCCCCCTAGCAAGGTATGCAGGTTAGCTTTGGCTCAAGCCATCTGCTCCAGCCCAGCAGGAGGCATGCTCTAGCGAGCCCTGCCTTCTGACCTTGGCCAGTGCAGCATGCAGCTGCATCTCTGGAATCAAATGTGAATGCCTGTTCACTTGCTTTCTCAGTTCAATCTACGTAGCTTAGATGAACCTGCAAAGGTTCAACTGACACAGGCTCAGGCTTTTTGACTGTCTGTACTTAGCTGCAGAGCCTGGCCACAGCCTAGAATCTGAGATCATGTAGGCAAGATGAACAAAAAGAAAAGCCTCTACAAAGCATATAGTCAGCTTCGAAGCTATAATTAATATAAAAACAAGATAAACAGAAATGGGGCCCATTCTTTGTTATATTTCTTTGCCAAAAGACCTTAAGTTCACTTAATGCCATTACTGATCTGTCTCCCACCTCCTATAGTATTCACAGTTCTTGGCAAACACACTGGGGACTGCATATTAGCACCCAACAGTTCAGGTATGGTTGATTTCTATGGATGTTTTTAGCAGTCTTCACTTCTATAGTGCCTTTCATCTGTGTATCTTCCAAGCAGTTTACAAAGCTTTTCTTTATAATATGCCCCTGGAGTCAGAAGCAGTCACACATACCTAATGAATACTGCACTTACGAGAGTGAGTAAAACAGATTACTAATGTAAACTTAGAAAGCAAACAGCATTTGTGGTGAGGGTAAAGTGTTTCGAAGAGTGAAGTTGTTTTCTGATTCATTAAGGATGCAAAATTCACCCTCATTTGTTGCTTATCATTAGTCACTCATAATTACTTAATTCAAAGTTTCAAAATATCAGTTTTGGAACCTTTGCCGGGAGCTTTTTCCAGTGCGTCAGTTGTGAGCACACCAACTGAATGCTCTAAGCATCATCAAGAGCCTAGATTTCTTGTTTGTTTTATTAATGAGAAATGAAAACCTTAAAACATAAAATGCCTGAAAGAGTTTTCTAGTTTCTCTGCTTTCTTATACTTCTGTCTTCCAATTACAACAATTAAATTATTTGATTATCACAGAAACAAGAAGTTTCATACTATTCTCCATGAAGGTGACCAACACTATGGTTAATACTTTTTTATGCTGAGGCCACTTCAGAAAGGATGGTAGAGCAGAACGAGGTAAACCATTGGTTAAGTGTCCTATAACACCAACAGTAGCACTGCTCTTGGGCAGTCTCTGGGAGGATGTCAAACCTTTGGCTTCAAACATTTGAAATGCCCCAGATGTAATGTCTGTATATGGCTACATGCATTATTTTTAAAATAAAAAATGATAAAACATTCATTTTGCAGCAATGGGCAGAAAAGATGTGGAACAAATAACAGCATTTTCACAATGCAGGTACAGCCTACAGGTAGATATGCATGTACTTTACTTACCTCATTTTTTAATATTTTTGTCCATATGATAATGCAAGAATAAACCAATAGAACAAAGTAGACTGGATACCCTTGTGATGGTAAGGTAGAAGACCTTAAATAGAATGGACTCACTGTTTGAATCCATTTTTTTAAGGCACAAGATTATCAAACTCTTGCATAGAATGCCTTGAAGTCTGCCATGGAAATCCAGCAACTGTTCAAGTAGGTTAGATTTGTGGCTTATCACGCCCATCATCTTGTCCCTAGCAACAGTCAGCACCAGCTGCTTTATGCAAAGCTGCAACAAAACCCAACTGGTAGAAAGAAGTAGGGGAATCTGCTTCCCATTCCGTGAAGGTCTCATTACAGTTCTTATTCATAATTGAGCTATAATTCTTCTATAGAGGGGCACAGAATCATGGAAAAGAACTTAAATGGGCCCTTATCTGTTTATTGGGAGAATATTATAGAACTTAAGTACATCAGGTACCAGCATAAACATTATATTAGTTTATGAGACCAGTTGGTCAGTGGTGCTCCTCCTTGGTAAGTATAGGTCTGCATCACCCAACTCCTTGGGGCTTCCAGCTAAATGCTCTTTTCCACCCCACTGTCTTTGGTCTAGTTCTAAATCAAGGCTCCTCTGAGGCACAGGTGATAGGACACTTTCAACACAGAGCTACATTTCTCTGGCCTGATATTCTGTGAAGTTCAGTACTCAAGCTGCTGCTTTAAATGCAGATGGCTGGGTTTTTATGCTTGTTTTTTATTTTGTTTTTAAGAAAGGATCAAGGACAAACAGAATTATTTCAATGCTCGTAAGTGTTAACAAACGATAGGACCTTTTTACTTTAATAAATATTAAATTGATATTCCCATGATTTTAATCAGAATGGAAACGTAATAGATGTGCTTCCTCTGGTCATCATAAAGTGAATAGGAGTATACAGTATGTGATACGCAGATACAACTCAAAGTACAGTGAAGGAGAACATTAAACAAAAAAAATCCCATCACATTATCAGTTAGTTATCTTAACATCAGGCCATTTTCCTACCTGTTTATATTCAGACTCTCTCCCAACCAGTACCTGCAGAACATAACTGATAGGGTCTCCTTTCATGGGTGGAACCACTTCCCAGGTGATTTCACAGGCATTTCCCTCTAGCTGCGTCACTCGAGGGGCTAGAAAAAACACGTATACATCAGACATATACTACTGTAAAATGCATTATGAGAGAATTATGTTCCTGCTTTATACACCAGTTACAAAATGCTTTTAGAAAGAGAACTGCAGGACTTCACAGGGTTTGGTAAGCAATAACAGTATTTTGGCAATAGGAACACATTTAATTAAACCAGAGGTCGAGGGAGTCTTTATTTTTTGTAAACGTGGGGCCTGTTCCTTTAATTTCAAAGGGAGTTTTGCCTGAGTAAGGGATGGAAGATGGGACACTTAGTTACAAAGTGAAATCTGAACTGGCTTCTGATGCCCTTTGAATTGACCTTCTGAGAGCAGCAAGTAGTATACAAGAGACCAGATTCTTGCTCAGAACTATATGAACTACTGAAGCATGTAAAGTAAAGGCTATGAACTCTGTAACTCAACTGAAATGGTATCTATTGTGCTTCCCAAGTGGAGAGTTATGAGATGATTGACTATGATTGCAAGAGCTAAATTTTCATGAAATCCTGTAACACAGGACTAAGTACTCTTTTGGGCTAATAGAGCCATTTTCATGTCACAGCCCACTTGTGAGGACCCCAGAACATAGGCACAAGCTACACATAATTGGAGTTTGACATGGAAGGGAACAAAAGAGAAGACAAATACAGATTTTTTTGCTATAGGAATTGAAGTTCAGACTCCACTGAGATCAGTGGGAGTCTTGCCATTGACTTCAATACAGAATGGGTTTCATTCCACATTCTGGTTTCCTGAAGCTTTCAAATACTGGGATTAATATCTAATTAACACTTCACAGTTTGTTGGGGATCAGATTTGAACTTTCTGGTCCTATCGCAAAGCTTTCACTAGCATTTATGGAAAGCTGATTCATCAGCAGCCAAAACCCGTCTACCTTGCAAAGTGGTTTTTTCATCAGCTGAAAGCCAACAGAGATTTTCTGCCCAATGAGAGCAAGATGATAAGTCAACAGTCCACAGAGTTTTAATTGACTGCAATATGTTTACACGTACAACTGAGCATCTGTCCTGTGTGGACATCAAACCAACCAGCAGCAGACTATGAGAGTCTGCTGTTTGCCAGACAGGGAGCGAGCATGCGGCTGAAAAGTGAAACTGTAGAAGGATCTACAAACACGTGTTGCAAAACACCTCAGCAAGTGGTTAATGTGCACATGCAAGGACACATGCATGTGAAAAACAATGTTTCACAACTTCAGGGATTTCTAGAAACAGGACAAGCCATCAAAGAAACAGTTGTTGCTACATATGCTGCATTAATCCTAAATTAATTTGCCACCACCTAGAAGGCCACCTGTTTTAGACCAAAACAGGAATTCTCCACCAGGGTGCCACAGCACGCTTCAGTACTGAGAAATCCTTTTAAGGATGCCACAGGGTGCAATGCAATAGTAGCACTGTTACGTGTCAAAACCATTCTGTTGTGCTCTGAGTGGTCTGCAACAGAAGAATTTCCCAATTATTTTTCCATAGTCACAAAAAAAAAAAAAAAAAAAAAA